GAACTTTTGAGGTGAAGTGTCGTGCAGAGGTTGCGATAGAGACACGTAACAGGGAGGAAGTTTATGCTGTTGCCGTTTGCGACAAGAATAGTAACATACAGGCATGGGAATTTTCCGCGGATTCGCGAATTTCCGGGTTTTGGTTTTCATGTTGGTCATTCTTGAGATCGATGCAAAAAAAATTTGAGGGGGAATAAGGTGTACTTTTCTTGTCAAAATGGACGCCATTTTTAATTTTAACTTCATAAAAGGTCATGAAAAGTACGTCAAATTTCACACAGAAGTGACGGAACTCCAGATAAATATCGTTGGGTATCTATGTAATGTAAAGGGTTTTACCCTATTCTCATGCGTACCGAAACTCGGTGACAATGCCGAATGGTTCATAGAAAATGACAATTCAATGAAATATTTCCTCCAAAAACATCTCAACCTGTTCTCATGCCTGAACATAAGAATGTTATTACCTACGTATTAGAATGATGAATAACAACAAATGTTAATATCGGTTATCTCGGGATGTCCGTGTGAAACCTAGTACCTGTGGTCGTGTGGATGAACTGCTGTGGTGACCAAGCTACGAAAACTGTTGTAAACACTTCTCTGACTAGGATCAAGTTGTTTGCGATTGCCCGTTGAAAGTTTGCCGACGGAAGTGGATCCGCGGGGTGTAGGATGTGTGAGTAACAGGGGTAGGTGAAGCCCTACCAGGGATTTATTAACATGATGCAGCACCACACCGGACATCTCAGTGCCGATGGGGGGACGGGGGGTGGGGGGAGCGGGGTCTTTGTCGGAGTATCCCAGGTAATAAATATGTTATTTCTTAGTTGTTGGTTAAATTGACTACGTCACGAATTTTCTATGGTGTATATTTGGAAAATTTTGTTGCCATTTTTTTACATGAAAAGTAAGTACTAACGGCACTAACTGTATCGTCAAATTCTTACCTGATATAAGATTGTTTATCAACTAGTTAAAAAGTCCAAAAAACGTGGACGATTTGATATTATGATCCTGACATTAATTGCTCGCTATGGGCTATGTATGAGTTACATTGAGTGTATGTTTACTTTGAACAATATAGTAAAATAGGAAGTATAATGCAGTAATTTAACCATAACAAGTGAACAGGATTACTTACATTTTGTGAAAAAGTGGAAATATTTTTTTTACTTTTACTACTTTTACATAATTTATTTTTACTACTTTTACTACTTTTACTTTGATTACGGTGACGTAGTGCTTGCTCAGTGCAGAGAGGAGGGGAACGGGGGAGGGGAAAGGGGTCTATATTTGACCGCGCGGAGGTGCGGCAGGACGGCGACGTGCAGCCCGCAGACTTCTGCGCTCAGTACAAGCTCCCGCCTCCGCAGGGCTTCTCCTGCGTCGACACGATCAACCGGGACGTCTACGTGAAGCTGGCAACCCTCGCCGCGTTCCCGTGAGTGACGATGGTGGTGGCGATGATGGTGACGATGATGGTGACGATGGTGGTGACGATGATGGTGACGATGATGGTGACGATGGTGGTGACGATGGTGGTGACGATGGTGGTGACGATGATGGTGACGATGGTGGTGACGATGGTAGAAATGATGGTGACAGTGGTGATGATGATGGTGACAGTGGTGACGACAGTGGTAATGATGATGATGTTGGTGATGACGACAGTGGTGATGATGGTGACGGTGGTGATGATGATGATGATGATGATGATGACGATTGCCACAGTTGTGGAATCTGCATTGAATGATGTTGCGGTGACAACGATGATATTGATGATAGTGACGATGGCATAGCGGTGACATAAGATGATGACGCCGACGACGACGACGATGATGGCAGTGACGACGAGGATGACAACAATGACGGTGATGATGATGACGACGATGATGATATAATGTCGTTTATCAGGTGACATAACAGGTACGACAACGTTGAGGACGTCATTGCCCATCACCGCAAGGTGTAGTTGTGGTTTGCGATAAACGTGCGACGAATCGGCTAACATGAAATAGGCGAAGCTGACATGCCTAGCATCGAGCCTCCGCCACACATCTAATCTCATCGTTGGCAAGGGAAGGTCAAAACCTCAAACCTCTAAAAAACCTCAAACCCTAAACGCGCGTACCGTCGCATATTAGTTAACATGCACTATACCTCATACTGAGCCCTGTAGACCTGGAGATCTTGAGGTTTTCAACCACCGTGCAAGGTCCTGTGTGCTGCAGTGGCTAGGTCGAGTGTAGTGTAGTGACCCGAGAAGAAGAAGTAGTACCGGCACGTGGCAGTATTAGTCCACACGTGAGATCGGGGTCAACACAGGCTGGTACACACGCACGCACGCACGCGCGTACACACA